TATGTTCATTCTAGAATGAAAGAGGCATAATATATATTTATTTCCAAATTTTTTATGGTGGTTGTAAGATCAGTCAAATCTACTGAACCTATACAGAGATTAATTACTGAAAATAACAGATAAAATATAAAGTTTTTTCTTAAGAAACATTTCATATCTATCTGGATATTATTAAGATTTCACATGTGAAATTTCAAAATTTTCTGATGCATAGAAGTAATTTTAATCTTAAAACAAATATTACTTTGTATGATATAGACAACATGTGAAAAGAAAAAAAAAGTTATAAGAAAAGCATTGTAAGGTTTACTGATAATCTGCAAGATTTTGTTAACATACGCTTACTAATTTAAAAGTTATAGCATGAAAACTATAATAAGCACAAAAAGAGTTGAAAGAGTTAATACTTTCCACAGCCTTTCCTTGTGGCTCTTGTTCTAGGGTCTTTTTTTTTGTTTATTTGTTTTTGACCATTGTCTATACACTTCTGTGTCAATTTTCATGATTTGCTGGGAGCTTCAGTCTTATTGGCAAGCTGCCTCTCTCAGACAGTCCTTATTCTGTTAGTGGAGTAGTCTCTGCACACCTATATCTATATGGGATTTACTCTTGAACATTTGCCATCCTTCTGTACTCCAGGCGTCCTCTTTTACAGTCCTCTATTCCTCTTCCTTCAGCTCTGGCTGTCATTTTTCTAAACCAGGCCTGGTTTTACTTCTTTCTCTATACCTACTGTTTTATTCATCACATCCTCTGTACCTTGGATGTACACACTACTATCCTTCTATAAGACCACATTGGTCTTGATGCAATAACTCAATAAACCCTCCCTATCTCTCTTTATTTGTACTCTCACAGTTATTGTCCCTCCACTCTCACGTGTGAAATTTTCCCAGTGTATCGCTCATTAGACTGGACTTTCCACTTCTGTGGCATTATTTTCATCATATCTTTCTTGTCCTTCAACTGTATTTGTATATTGCTATCAGTGGTGGATCTTTTGTCATTGGTCCTTGCAACATCCATTTTCTTCGAGTGGTGATTTTGTGCACTGCTTTTGTTCCTTTCTTAATTTTTTTTTATTTTTCCAGTACTAAGATATGTTTCATACCCTGTCCTTCGTTCTTTTCCTTTCCTTCACTCTTCTCTTTCCTTCTCACCCTGCTCCCTTGCCTGACTGAGACTTCGTTGGGGTTATGCTTAATTTTATGTATGCCCCATTCTTCAAGCTATTGCCTTCCTGACCTTTACCATCCTTCTTTCCTGACTTGTTCCTTCCTACTTATTTCCTGAAATTACTGTTTTCCTGATATCTATCCTCTAGATGCTTCTCACACTCTCTTACACCACACTTCTCCCCTCCCTGAATCAATCCTATCTTCCTAAAATTTGACTGTTTGAGGATAAACTGTAATTCTCTCTTTCTTCCCTTCCTTTCATCTTTGTTCTATTGCACCATTTGGATCTGGTTCAGCTCCTATGTTCTATTGGATAGTTCTGTGCCTCATCATGGACCTCTTGCTTTGAGGGTCCTCACCTTCTTCTGTTCCTATCACGGGACCACTATTTTGTATGAACCTCATACCTTATTCCTTTCCAGGATGGGCCCATCAACTCCTCCATCGACGTGTTTGTCTTGGGATGTTGATGCTTGTATTCCATTCATCGCCCTTTTCATTCTTTTCCACCTCTTCTTTGCCAGCCCTTGGATGAGTTTTTCCAGGTAGGCATATAAACTCTCTTCACACATCCATCTTTATACCTTCTGGCTGTTTTATATCCTGATGGTTTTTGGCTTCCAAAAGTTGCCATTCTTCCTCTATCTTTGAGATGAATGTGCATCATTTCCCCTTTTAGGATTTTTCTTTCATTCAGTAGGATCCCACTAGGTAGCTACTGGTTGCCTCCCAGGATATACTTACCCAAAATCTGCATCAAGTAGTATAATGGAAAGCGTACATGCAATCTGTCCTGGCTCTACAAGTGCTCCCTGTGAGATGGGTTTTTCTACAGGACCACTTGAGGTTTCCTTGTGGTATCTATCTATATATATTTATATACACACACACATTACTTTTTTTTTCTGATCCAGACCATTCCATGGACTGCATTGGAAGAAGCCAGCACCAAGGCAGTATTTCTGCCCACTTCTCTGGCTAATACTTGCTGGCTTTTAAAAAGAGGGTTTCACGGTCACCCATTGCACTGTCTTCAGTAAAAGACCTTTCTGGACTCAAGGACTGATGGGGATCCCAACACAATTTTTGATACTTTTCTCCGCACACATTCCCAACCATCCTTTCCATTTTCCAGTGTACATTTATTCATTGCTTGATCAAAGAATGAGGATTCATGAGCATGAAATATAAGGGAGAGTCATTGTGCATAGAGGTGTGTTGCACAGTAATTAATGGAGGGTTATGCTGATGAAGATGTCATCTTGCAGTAGTACAAGTTCACGTTGTTTCATGTATGAATAAGTGGGATTTTTCACAAGGCTGGAAGAATGTGTAGTAGATAACTATCCTGTGTGAAAAAGATGAGTATCTATTGGAAATACATTTTCAGATAAGAAAGTGTTAACATATTGAAGTAATATACAAAAATGATTTGTAATTTGTTAATTTTTTCTAGTTATTAACTACATTTTGATGCTGTTTTCATTATATGAACATGATCTATATTTGTTTATTCAAGAATTGTACTGTTAATTATTGAAAAGAAGTTTTTCTTTAGTATTTTTTTCATCATGTGATTTACATGCTATATATTTCCGTTGTTTAAAGCTGGTGTTTCTTCAAATACTGAACAGTAAAGTGCACCTCACATAGCTTAACCTTAAGGGTAAAACTAGTTGGAAAAAAATAAACAATCCACTCAAAAGCTGTATCTCTGGACTTTTAATTAGTTGGATACATGTTATCTGTGTCATTTATGCTGAGGATGGCGTAGTGGTTAGCATGCTTGACTATTAATCTGAGGGTCTGTGCCTCCCATTGTTACAAAGTTGTACTCCACACTCTGTGACTGTTGGTGCATTATAATAGTGATGGCCAAATATATATATATGATTAGTTTAGTCCAAGAGTTTGCTGTGGGTGCTGTTGATTATCTGCCATTCCTCTAGTCTAACCGTTCAAAGTTAGGGATGGCGAGCAAAGATAGCTTTGCATATATATCTAAAACAAGCTAACTATATGATTTAAGGGCTTAAATGTAAAATGTCTTTTCATAAAGTACAGGTTGTGATTCAGCAGTTTTCAACATCTAAATTTTCCCTGCTATTAATGCATTTGGTGGAGAACTGTAGCTACTAAAAAAATATTATAAGGAATATAACTATTGCGTTCAAAACTAGGGATGACAAGTATAGATAGGCCATGTATAGCTTTATGCACATATCCAAAACAAACTACATAATTTGATAGCTTAAAGGTAAAACATCTTTTCATAAAGTACAGGTTGTGATTCAACAGTTGTCAACACCTAAGTTTGCCCTCTCACTTGTACATTTGTTATAGAACTGTAGCTACCATGACAGCAACTATTTTAAGGAATATTATTATGTTGCCTCATTAAGCTAATAGAAAAAAACTTTATTTACAGGATTTGTAATTAATGTACATTAGTATAAATCTACCACTGTAGCTCTTTATTTTATTGATTGATTTTTAAATTTGTTTTTTCGAATACAAGTTTCAAAAAAGCTGAATTTTTTTATATTTTTTCATATCCATAATAATTAGTGTCAACTGTCCTCTATTAATTCATTTAACTAATTAATTAGCATTGTGACTGATTACCAATTAGTTTAATACTTATAATAAAATGTATTATTTATGAAGATTAAAGTTGTTGACAAATGAAAATTGACAATTAGTCCTAAAGTTTAAATATGTTTAATATGTGAAGAACGAGTTTACCCGCTAAGGGAATAAAATATTACACTATTTCCATTATTGGTGGTAGTGGACATAACGCTTTATGGGAGAGTAAAAAAAAATTTGATAAAATTATGGAAGGAAAAATAAGTGAAATAGTGACAGATGAAGACATTTAATTTTTACATTTCTTGATACCATAATTTAAAATAGTCAGTATTTCATAATGTCGCAAGAGTTCGATCAAGTTAAAATCTCAAGATCATAGTCAAAGATGGGGATTATCCAGAAAGACACAGTGTTTTGTGTACAGAGATTTATCTTGTTGATATTCATTCTATATTTTTACACTTGTTTACTTTAAATCTAAATACAGCAACTGTACATTCTGCTTAGTAGGTTTTAATTTTATTCATGTCCAACTACATAATACAACAACAGCATTGCTTAAAGGATTTATCTATTTAAAACATTTATCCTTCTCATATATATATATTATTCCACTTAATAATGCTGCATATGTGAAAAAACTTTGAGCATTGGCTTGTATGGCATAGCACATTCTTTGTATGTGGGAAGTCGTAGATTTAATCCCATCTATATCCTTTTTTTTTTGCTAAACATTGTTTCAGTAGTCAAGTAATTTTAGTATATAAATCATACTCAAAGGATGAGTTTATCCCCTAGTGTTTAAATAATGTAAGAGGTAATATGTTTTTCCAATTATTTGAACCTCCAATGTTTTTAATATTTTTTAAATTTTGCTGTTTCATGTGCTTGTTATGGATGGATATAACATTGCAGTGATAACGGTGAGTTGAAATTTTATTGTAATTTAGATAATGATATACACTAATAAATTTTAAGAACATCTTACATTACTCATTTATTCACAAATCCTATTTTTTAAAATGTTTAAAGAGTAAAATGTCTTGTTTCTAAATATATTTGCTGAACAAAATAGTTGATATCTTTGAATCTATAAGTAACACTTCAGATATGTGTGTGATATAAAATATATTTACTTTAGTTGTTTGTTTGTTTTGGTAATTTGTGTATTAGTGATGTTGAGCATGTGGTTTTAAAACTTTGCATCCATTCTGTCAGAACCCGGACTATATGAAAAACAACTTTGTTCTGTGCATAGAAACAATGCATGCACCTGACAGGGGGGAACAGGAAAATGTAAGCATTTCTATTTTGTGATTAGTTCTTCATACTCTTACAAACTAGAAAATCTAGTATATATGGATAAATGTAATAATTGCTCTTAATCAAGTCTTCAGAATGTAAATCTTAAGTATATTTCATAATTAATTTGTTTTATCCAAGTCTTGTGTGTTAAATGCTTATGTAAATCCCATTCAGAAAGTTGTGACACTAAAACATTAAATCAAAATTGGTATTTAATACAGTCTTTGAGTTATTATACAAAGAGTTTGGATGGGCTGTTGTATTGAATATTAATGACTTACTAATTATATAGATTTTAAAAAAAATTTACAAATGGCTCCTTACTATACCTAAGTAAGATACACTGTATTGTTTAATTATTATTTTTGTTAAATATATATATGTTATACTAGTTAGTATATTGAATATTGTTACTTTTTAATTTTATAATTTTTTATTATTATACTTTTTTGTGGAGATAGTTTTGTATTAATTGCTTAGAATTATGTATTTAGGACTAACACAAATCTCCTTTGCTGACTGAACCTCATGATATTATTGGGATTACAGATGAAAGTATTGTTAATGCAATAAGGGTACCCAACTGGTAAAACAATGAATTATAATCTTAAGTAGAGACACAAGAAAAGTATATTTAATACACTGATTGCAAAATTGATTTTTAGTTTCACTAAAGTTCATTGTTTACTCTGATCAAAAGTTCATATGTACCTACATATTTCAGCTTTTCTAAATGTAAGTGATGATTGTTACCAAAGTATAATTTTAAACTTCTTCAGCTCAGTACTTTCATTAGTTTTATTTAAAATGCACCAAGAAATGCTATATTATGTTCAGAAGTAACTTTGTTTTATCTCCAGTATGATTGTATTTTATTTCTATAATTACTAAGTAAAACAGGTTGGAGGTCATACTTACCTTATTATACCTTTGATTGAATGACAAAAGTGGATATCATATGAATAACCAAATGGAAGAGTTTAGTGCGAGTGATGACCCACTTTGTTTTAGTAGCAGTAAGTTAAAAGTTTCAACATTCTAGAGAGAGTGAATACCTCAGTTTAATAAAAAAAATGAGGACTTTATAAGAATTTGACAATTTAGCAAAAAAAATATTAGCATCACATAAAAAAATAGGATTATGCAAGCTTTGTACATCAGTAAGTTTTCATTCAGTATCTGTTGGTTAATGGCAAATAATGAGTAATCAAAAAAATAAACAGAAATTTGCTAAATTTAATTTTGCTCTTATCACATTCTAATATATAATTGATCAGTTTTATGCTTGCTTGTAGTTTCTAAAACATTTCTATCCTTTAGGTACATGGGCTTTCTCCAGAGAAGTTAAAACAACGAGATGTGGTATTTATTGATATAGCTAATGACAATGTCGAGACTAGAGTAAGTTACTCCAGGTTTTCGTAAATTGGTTTTTCTTACGAAAATATGAATTATCTATTTTGGATGTTAATATGTTTGTAACTATTAATCAATGACAATAAGCAGTATAAAATGTGGCCAATATAAAAATCATAATTAATTGTCTTGAACATAAAATTTACCATCCTATTACTCATTCTGAATACTACTTTCATAACTAAATTTTATATGAATACTGTTTTCATAAATCAAAATAATTTTATTACATATCAAGATCAAATTATGGCACTGCTTTATTATCTCTTATCAAAAATAAAATTAACTTTTACTTTCATGTACAGTTGTTGTTTAACTACTCTTTCTTGATTGTGTTTCAGGATTATAAAGAACTAGAAGACCCAAAGAAGATTAAATCCAAAAAAACTGGTAGAGGTCCATTAAATACTGGTTGGCAAGTTAGTATTTTAAATCCTCTAGTTTAGTGTTAGTATTTTGTGTCTTGTTTTGTTGTGTGTTATTGAACACAAATATTTCATGTTTTGTTGTGTGCAATAAATTTTCATATTTTTGGCTTGTTATGTGTTATTGAGTATAATCTGGACATTGTTTTGTGTTATGTTCTTGAGTGTGTGAATTTGTATTTTGTTTTGTGTTTGTCAAGTGTTAGTGAGTTTTAAAATCTTTCTCTTGCTATATGTTGTCATGTGCTACTGGATGTTGAAAAACTTCTGTTTTTTTTATAGTGGTAGTATCTGTGTATTTTGTTATTGATTATTACTTGTCATATTTTTATTTGTCTTGAATCTTACTACCAATATTTTGTGTTGATATCTCATTAAATTATAACTGCTATATAAAAAATGTGCAATATAATATGTTACCCTTATAGAAAACAGCTAATCCTGTTATGTGTGCATACAAATTGGTGACAGTAGAATTCAAATGGTTTGGTCTTCAGAATAGAGTGGAATCATTTATTCAGAAGGTAAGCTTTTTTTTTCTCAAACCGTCTTTCTTATTTGCTTACATTTTATTATTACTCCGTTTAAAAACCGAATGGATTGGGAAAATCTTTTCACACTTTAGAATATATATATACTATTAGTTTAGGAGTTTGACAGCTCCTTTCTTTTGTGTGGATTTCATTATTATATTACATTCACTTTACTAAATTTTTGAATGAATAAACAATTGAGAAGCTCTTTGTTCAGTAAGTGATACCTGAAGAAGGTCAGTGCCTGAAACATTGTATCCAGAACAGTATATATATTAATATATATCTGTAGTTAACTCCTTGGTGGTTTGACCTACAAGATACTTCTTATTAAATAGTGATTCAACCAGAAATGATTATGTATTATCTCTGCTTATACTACAAACCAGTGATTTTGAATTTGACTTGGATATTTCTAACTTGTTTTATAGAGCGAGAGACGGATTTTTCTCAACTTTCACCGGCAGGTTTTTTGTTGGTTAGACCAATGGTATGGCTTAACAATGGAAGACATCAGGGCACTTGAAGATAAAACTAAGAAAGAACTGGATCAGGTAAAGTCTATTGGTAGCTTAAAAGTTTTATATAAATATTCAGAGTTATATATGAAAAAATAGAAAAATGTGAAGGCGATATAAGAAAGAAATTAGACTTTTGGAGAAAAGCCACCTCAAAACTCTTTAGTTTTATTTCCTTGATGATGGTTCAAGCAAATGCTTTTTTTCTTCAAGCCAGAAACAAGCTTGTCAGTTAATGACAAACACACACGTACACATATAGTGTGTGTATGTGCTTATGCATGAATGTTATCAAACTTGTAAAGTTTGTGTATTTTGTTATTAGGTTTATATAAGGAACCAAACCCAAGTTACCCTGACAGTATGCTTATACCTAATCCATTAGTTTAACTAAATAATTATTGTTAATTGTAATACATTTAATTATTACAACTAATTACATTTGTTACTTGTTAGTTTTTTTTTTCTTTTCAGATTATTCTTGTGTTGTTCTTTTTAAGTTTTTTTTCATTGTTGATTTATTAATTTTTTTTTTGTTCAGTGCTAATATAACAATGAATTTTCCTAAGTATTTGGAAAACAAAAAAATAAATATGAAATATGAGTATGTTGCACAGCCAATTTGATAGTTAAATAAGGCAGTACAATAAGTGTAACATTTTGTTTTTTGACAGCAAATTAACCAAGGACCAGTTAGAGGAACACAAGGAGACGAATAGAACACATAAATCAGTGTAGTAGCATCAGTATTGTCACTGTTAGCAAAACTTTAGTAGATTCAATTCTTTACTGTGTAAACTGTTGTGATGATGTTTCTGAAGCTAAAAAAATCAACCTCTTCTAATCCACTTCCAGTGTTGATAGATCAGTTACACCAATTATGTTTTATTCTCTTTTGTTGATTGATATTATTTTGTTTGGTCAGTTGTACAAAAGTTCTAGTAACATTCCTTGAGGCTTGTGAAATAAGACATACTGTTATAATGAAATTTATGTGTATAACGTACAATGATGTAATTAGTCAAAAATAATGTGACTAATTTTAGGGAGAATTTACTTTGTAGATTGTGCTTTCGCATGTGCTACTTTGTTAGGATAAATTGTTTCCTTAGTAAATCTTCTTCAACTTTCAACTTCCGTGATGATGTAAATGCTAGTTTTTGCAGCAGCTTTGGGGAGTCAGTGCTCTGTTGTTTTCATTATTAATTGAGTTAGTTTCATTGTTTTTAATAAAAGCCAGAACATTGCTAAATAAATTACTTATAGATGTGATTTTTGGCTTGTGACAGTATTTAGTTTATATTTAAACTGTATTTCTACAGAAGTGTTTCTGTGAATAGAAGCATTAATCAGTCATGAGGTTTGTTTTATGTAAAATGTTATCTTGACTTCAATTTAGAAGTTTCTGCCACAGTGTGTACAATAACGTTTTCACTACAGTCTTTGTAACATGGTATTGCCATACATATTAAAATCATATTGTTGACTACTATATTAGTTGAAAAAAAAAGATATTTAGATCTTTCATGTAAAACAAATAAAAAATATTTAGAGCATAATTTGGCACTGGTAATTAATATTTTAAGAAAAAGACAATCTTCCTGTGTGGAAAACTCTTTAAGGACTACTGCTATATGGGGAAGTTTTTAAACATGTTGGTGTTTTAAACCTCGTAAAGGCTTGAGAACACAGGAATATTGTCCAAAAACTGCAGCAACACTTTCAGACACATTGTATATTTTTTTAATTTTATCCTGTCTCTTATGGTAAGTGTCTTAGTCCTTCTGTACTGAAATATGTTATAGCTTACTGTGGGTGGAAAGCATGTGGCAGTGACTTCATTCAGTGAAGAGCATGTTGGTAAAGGTGTGAACACTAACGCATTAGCTCAGCAATAAGATATGGTTAGCCAAATTATAAAATTACTGAAGATTAGACTCTAGAAATAAAAATTGAGTTTGCTGGAGATGGCCCTTTTCTTCCATTTACAATTGAAATTCTTAATTAATCAAGTATTTACACTTCAGAAACTTTTCAAATGGAGTTAATACTTTATAAGCTTGTTCTAGTTGTTCTCTCTTTTTATCAAAAACAACTAGTGAAGTACATATTTTGTAAGATTTTCTTCTTTCTGAATTTTAATCACAAAATTCGAAAATTAGGCCACACCAAAAAATATTGATCTATGAATCTTTTGACAAAAATGCTGAGACAGCAAGAAAAATGTTTTTTCTTTTGTTAAATTTCTGAACAAAATTTTCTTCATTGAAATATAAATAAGTTTATGCTTTATAGTATAAAAAAAAACATTGTTTCTTTCATGAAGTTCAACAGAGGCAGTAGGCCTTGGTATTTTGGTCTTGTCACACCAAATTTCACATATTTTAAACCAACTTTGGCACACGCATTAACTCGGAAAGGTAAATTTACACTTGTGAAATTTCCAAATATTCGATCAGATATGGAACATAGCACCTCAACTTTCAAAGACGATTGTTTGTCCCCAAACAATTCTCCAAATGAATCACACATCTGGACACAATAAAAGAGTGTTTGGTTTTATTATCTTACCCCTTTCCCCACAAAAATATTATGACAGTTATCCCACTAATTTACAATTTAAAGAGGACGTCATCTGTTTGCTTTGCTAAACCAGAAAAGCAAAAAACATTATAAAATGTTGACCAGAATTAGGTCTGGACAATGTTGATTTTCAGATTTACAAGCAAAATAAATAGTTTGTCAAAAATTTGAGTAGCAATATTCATGATCAAGATTTGTTTTTATGGTGGTTTTAGGAATGTGAAATGACAGTCTTTTTGTAACATACTAAAAATAAATTAGTCCAAGCTAGGTTTTGCATTGTTACAGTATGATAATATAATTAAACATTAGTCTTAAAATAGAAATGAGTAACATAGTGAAATGATAACATTGTTTAATTCCAAAAAAAAAAGAGATGTAAAATTGAAACAAGCTTTATCAATGATCTCATTAAGCTATGTTTTTTTTTGTGTGAGATTGTACCATGCATAAATGAATTATATCCAGTATGTGTTTTATGACCATTTTTTGATAATTACTTTTAATCAGTTTAAAATAAAAGTCAGCAATTAAAAAATAATTACTTGTATGTTGTTGAATTTAAAAAGGTGAAAATTTTTATCAATGATCTAATTAAGGTAAGGAATTTTTCCATACATAGACAAAGTTATATGCAGTTTCTGTTTGATAACGTAATAGGTGGATGATAATTTATTAGTTTGTGATATTAAGTTAGAATTTTCTGTAGGCTTCAGTTTTACAAAATTAAAATTGGTTATTGCTTTCCAGTTATTAATATTGAAATTTTTAAAATTAGGTGACCATGGTATGTATAGGATGCCAGGCTTTGTATTACGTATGATAGATTAGTGATTCCACATCTGTTCTTTTTATCTATAAACAAATTTAAAGGTGGGTTTCCTACTCAAAAATTTAATTTAATCTATTTTATGATTGAGTTGGAGATAACCTGAATCATCATGAAACATGACTTTTAAAAATAAATTTTTCAGTTTTGATTTGATAAGAAAATTGATTCTAGCTGAGTCCACATTACAGTTAAGTTTTAATCTATCTTGTGACTGAGTTGGAGATAATAACCTGAATCATCATGAAACATGACTTTTAAAAATAAATTGTTCAGTTTTGATTTGATAAGAAAATTGCTTCTAGCTAAGTCCACATTACAGGTTTTGGTGTCAAAAGGTAATTCTGTTGTTGATTCCTTTATATTAAAAAGGTTGTTTAGGAAAGATATGCTGATTTTATTGTGTTATTACTATTAGTGACATCTCAACTTGATTTTGATTAAGAAGCTTTTTGGACAAGTAAACTAAAAGAGGTTATACAAGATTCAATTTAATACTTGGTAAATAGCTGTGAAAAGGAAGAGGAGGATTATGTAGTGGAAATTTCAAAATGAATGTATTCTGATTAAAAAGAGTTCACATAATAAATGAAATAGTCATGAAATTAATGTTAAAAAAGATTTTGAAACCTTTCTCAGTAAGAATTGTTGTTACTGTATATTTTATTATTTGAAGTCTTTCAGTTGTTTACAGTTTGTAACTGGAATGAAACTAAGAATGATAAAAGTACAATCATATGATAATTCTCATTTCATCTTTGGGTTGAAAGTCATATGTCTGTCTGTGTTACATTCTTGCTCTTCAGGTGACTAACTTCATGCCTGGAATTTGGTCAATCAATTCCAGTATTTTGTACCAAAATTATTATTTCTCCATAAAAATAGAAATACTGTGACAAGCTAACTAGAAAGAGATATGCTATTTAATCTTTTAATTTCTGAGAGATCCGATATTCTGGCTTAGTCAGTTACTTGAAACACTAAACTCTGAGATTGTGGTTCAGTTTATAACTTTAAAGACACTAAGAATCAGTTCTCTGGTTCAATTACTAACATATGTCACTAAAATTTTATACCCTGGTCTAATCATGTACTTTTCATAAAAAAATCAGATACTGTGTTCTAGATGTTTTCAAATTGTGGGCTGGCCTAAAGAGGAAAAGAAATTACTTAACTGTAAGCACAACTAGACAGCTGAGGAGTTGAAAGGATTTAACAAATCTCTTCAAAGTTTTTTTGTAAATATCAGTATATTCCTATTCTTAATCCTTTCCCTGTTTGTTTATGTTACAGAGAAAGCGTTTTCTTTTTTTTACTTGGTCATTTTCATACAATAGTACACAATGGTCATTTGGAATGGCTGTACCTAAATTTGAACAGAAAGGCAGCTAGTTAACAACAACAAAAAAAAAACTGCCAACTCTTTCGTTTTTGACAAAAATAGCTCACCCATGGATGATCCCACAATACAAAGTGTATTGTTGCAATAAAGTGGACACGAACTTGAATCTTTGGATTCAAAATGCACAAACGTCAACCAGTTGGCACACCTGACCCTCTGTAGTATTCTCCATTTTCGATGACGAGGAACCCACTTTGAGACTAATAATGGTTGGAGACGGCTTGAATGGGTAATGAAGAAAAACTTTGATATAAGTTTAACATAACCTTGTCGAATCGTTGTACATTTGCGGTTATGTTAAACTTATATTAAAGTTTTTCTTCATTACCCATTCAAGCCGTCTCCAACCATTATTGTTATCCTTATTATAACATATATTTTATTATTTATCTATAATGAATGGTCATTTTGTTAGGACTTCCTCATAGATATGTGTAGAATATTTTTATTCTGCATGTGGCAAATAAACTGATCAGGTAATTTAATAATTAATTTTTCCAGAGCCCCCCCCCCCCCCCGTTGGCACAGCGGTATGTCTGCGGACTTAAAACGCTAGAAACTGGCTTTTGATATCCGTGGTGGGCAGAGCACAGATAGCCCACTGTTTTGCTTTGCGCATAACTTCAAGCAAACACCATATTTGTTATTTTTCTTTAATTGGACACTCAATGTTTCACTTTTCAGCTTCTTCAGATACGTTCCACTAATATATAAACCGTAACTGACAGTACAAAGCTTCAAATGGTTTAAATAACAAGTAGTAAAAAAATTTCAAAAATTAATTATGATGTCGGGATGACAATTCCAAAAGTACAGAAACAAGATAGAGATGAATACACAAAACCATATAAAATCACTACATAAGTAGCCAAATGTTTTCAAGAATAATATTTATCTACAACTAAATGTTGAATTCCTGTCAGTTGCATGAATTCAGGTTTGAATAAAAGCATTTAAACTGAATAGTACTGTGGCTGGTAATCATAAGCTTGTAAGATTGATTCACTACTTACTGGCTACTTATGTTATGATTTTTGTATGGTTTTGTGTATTCATCCCTACCTTGTTTCTGTACGTTTTGACACGGCCCGGTATGGCCATGTGGTTAGGGCGCTCGACTTACAGTCACATTATTCTTTATTTCCTTATTTACTTTTGTGAAATTGTTTGGTAGATATCGCTTTTGTGAATGAAAAGTCAAAAACGGCTGTTATATAAGAAATTGTGTTACCATCTAGCGACCAGAAATGAAACTGTTATTTATGAAACATGGAATTAATATAGGCTTATAAACTGAATTCACTGCTAAGTAGTAGTTTTCCTTTTTATTATTTTCCCATACAAATACGTGGCTGTAAGAAGAACAGAATAATATTACTGTTATACAAGATGTGAAACACTGAGTAATGGCAATTAGATGCTCAAATAAGGTTATAACCCACCAGTTACTTGTAAGCATCATAGAGTAATAGATTGAATGTGGCAGCCATTTTTTTCTCTGCCCATCCCTACATACTAAGCTTGACATATCAAGTAGAAAAGCTTATTGTTGAATTATTTGTACTGTTGAAATAATTAACTGTTACCTGTAATTAACAAAAGTTATATTCAAGTTACAGGTTGAAATAACAAAAAATAACTTGAAAAAATAAAGTAATTAAAATTATAGACGCTATCCTTTGTCCTTATTCACCTGTGGTCATAGTTAGTTGTTCAGTGAGAAGAGAGCTTCTTAAAATTTTCTATCAGTGTAGTTGATGGCTTTGGTGAGAATTTGTACAGACAATGGTGGTTTCATATCAGGTGCTACTGGTCTATGATTAGTCAAAAAATGATCTACAACTGTGCTTCTTTAATGTTGTCGTTTATAAAGAAAGTCAATATGTTCTCCTGTCCTTGTGTATAGAGTTCTTTCGGTTCCCCAAATGTACTTGTAATAAGTAAGCTAGTGAACAACATTGGAGACAAAAAGACACCCCATGTTTAAATTTCAAACACTTTTTGCAAGAAAGTTTGCTTTATTTATTACATTGTAGGTTAGTGTACTGAGATTTTGAAAGTTGTTTTTGAAGGCTGGACCTGACTGTTCTATAACTTTAATCACCAGTTCAGATTTCCTGATTATAGTTTTCATTTTCTCGGATATAGGTTTGTCATTTAGAGGAACTATAAAAGTAATCATTTTTGTGTTATCTTTAGACAATTGTGATTTTTCCTCCTTGTTTATCTGTTGTTTTCCATGATGGAAATGTGATGCCGATTTTTGCGCATCATAGTCCTTCAAAATTTGTTCGATGTAAAAAGGTGGATATTTGTTGCTCAAAAGGAGTGATTTTAGTTGGGAGGGTGTAGTGTGTTTTTTTTCACTACAATTGCGATCATTTCTTTTCAATTCCCCAATAATTGCGCCTATTTTGGAAGCTTTGGAAGGATGGGATTTAAAGTTAAGGAAGAGAGGTTTTCTTATTGGTTTGTGAAACAAGATAGATTGTATATCATTGTCGATCCTTAACCTAACGTCAAGAAACTCTATGCTCTATTTTGTCATTCGAGTGATTCAGGGGGGGGGGGATTGGTCATTTATTTCTAGTATTAAAATGTCTTCTATACACTATTATGCTTGTTTGTTTGTTTGTAATTAAGCACAAAGCTACACATTGGGCTATCTGTATTCTGCTCACCACGGGTATCGAAACTCGGATTCTAGCGTTGTAAATCTGCAGACATACCGCTGTACCAATGGGGGGGGACTACTATTATGCACGAGAGAACTTAAATAATGACGAACGGAATGTCCTTATAATGAAAATTATGTTAAGCTACAAGAACAAATGGGTTCGAATACATAAAAACCGATTAGCGAAACGTTATAACATAAACATCAATGATCTAACAAAAAACATTAACACCAGAATACAGTGATGTAACTCTTACAAATAACTCGTTAATTTAATAGATATACATGCATCGTGGAAGTCAGAACTCTGTTTCACGTGTATATCACGCACTGTATGGACCTACAATATTGTCTAAACGTTATGAATAATTTATGCGTACTTGGCTGGTTTAATGTTATTTTTATAATTTATGTTTATAATTTACTGTAATGTATATTCATCATGGATAAAACCCTTTCGGCAACTATGATCTATAATTATGTATGCATACTCAACATTTGACTCTTATTTAACAGCATTTAAAATAGTTTGTTTGTTTGGAAGTTCGCGCAAAGCTACACG